AGATAAGATGCAGACATGGGCAGAGAAATGGCAGATAGAGTTTAATCTGGGTAAGTGTGAGGTGTTGCATTTTGGGAGATAAAATGTTCAGGAAAAATATACAGTTAATGGCAGGATTATGAACAACAGTGATGTACAGAAGGATCTTGGGGTTCAAGTCCGTAGCACTCTGAAAGTAGCCACACAAGTAGATAGGGTGGTAAAGAAGGCATATGGCATGCTTGCCTTTATTGGTTGGGGAATTGAGTACAAGAGTCAGGATGTCATGTTGAGATAGCAGGAACTGCAGATGCTGGAGACTGTGAGATAACAAGGTGCAGAGCTGGATGAACACAGCAGGCCAGGCAGCATCAGAGGAGCAGGAAAGCTAACGTTTCGGGTCTGGATCCTTCTTCAGAAAATGAATCATTTTAATATAAAGTATGAATATAAAACTATGAGATGCATAGATAGGGTTGATAGAATCTTTTTCCCAGAGTTGAAATGTCTAAAAGAAGGGACATGCATTTAAGGTTAGAGGGGGAAAGTTCAAAGGCGATGTGAGGGGCACGTTTGTTTACACAGAGAGTGGTAGGAGTGTGGAATGTGCTGCCAGGGGTGGTGGTGGAGACAGATACGATAGGGGTGTTTAAGTGACTTTTAGGAAAGCACTTGAATACAGAAGGAATGGGGGGATATGGACCAAGGGCAGGCAGAAGGGATTAGTTTCGCTTGGCGTCATGTTTAGCACAACATCGTAGGCTGAAGGACCCATTCCTGTGCTGTTATATGATGCTCTCTGGTCCTAGACTCTCCTACAAGAGTCTACACTGTCAAATCCCCTAAAAATTTAGTATATTTCAATCAGATCACTTCATTCTTCTAAACTCCAATCAGTGCAGGTCCAACCTACTCAACCTCTCCTCATATGACGGTTCCTCCATACCTGGTATCAACCTAGTGAACCTTCTCTGGATTGCCTCCAATGCCAGTGTGCCTTTCCTTGGAAAATGGGCCCAAAGCTGCTCAGAGTACACCAGAAGTGGTCTGACGAGTGCCTTGTAGAGTTTAGCAAGAATTCCCTATTTGTCACCCTTTCTATCTGCGGAACATGGAAGCTAGCTTTCTGCGATGCATGCACAAGGACATCCAAATGCGCTGTCCCATAGCTTTCTTCATTTAAATAATATTCAGTGCCTCTATTCTTTCTGCCAAATTTCCATGTACTATATTCCATCTGCCAAGTTCTTGCCCACTCGCTGAACCTGTTTACATCCTTCTGCAGATTCTTTGTGCCATCCTCACCAATTGCCTTCCCACCTATTTTTGTGTCTTCTGAAAACTTGGCTATTGTACCTTCATTCAAGTCATTAAAATATATTGTAAATAATTGTAGCCCTAATGCTGATCCCTGTGGCACTCCACTAGTTACAGGATGCATGGCTGAAAATGTCCCCCTTATCCTAACTCTCTATCTTCCAAGAAAAAGAAAAATATCTCCTCATCACAGTCATAAACGGTATCTCCCTCATTTTTCAAGTGTGCCCTGGTTCTAGACTCCTTAACCAGGGAGATGATCTTACCTGGATCTAATCTGTCTGTCCCTCTAAGTATTTTGTGTATTTCAATCTGATCACCACATTCTCTGTAATTGTAGAGAATACAGGCTCAGATTTGCCCAATCTCTTTATAGAACAATCTTGCCATTCTGGGGTAAGTCTGGTAAATCATCAATAAGTTCAAAGAGCTGTGGATGCTGGAAGTCTGAATCAAAAGGAAAAAGTGCTGGAGAAACTCAGCAAGTCTGATAGCATCTGTGGGAAGAAAGCAGAGTTAACATTTCTAGACAAATTGTCCTTTGTCAGAACTGGTTCTGATGGAGGGTCACTGGACTCAAAACCTTAACTCTAGTTTGTCCCTCCACAGATACTGCCACACCTGCTCAGTTTCTCCAGCACTTACAATTTTTGTTTCTGGTGAATCTTAATAGCATTCTCTGTCTCTGGTAATAGTATCTTTCTTGAGATAAGGAGTAAAATTGGTAATCCAGGACTGATCTAGCTGCGCTCCTATACAATTGTAGCAAGACTTCACTACTCTTGTACTCAAATCCTCCTCTGATAAAGGCCAACATTCCACTAGCCTTCCTAATAGATTGCAGGTTGTCTTCAGTGCTTTATTGACAAGGACATGTACATCTTAACTTCACATCCTCTCACCATTTAAGAAATAATCTGCTCATCTGCTTCTCCTACCAAAGAGGATAACCTCACATTTGTCCACAATATATTTAATTTGCCTGTACTTCATTGAATCTTTCTCAACTTTACTGAAGCCACTTTACATCTTCCTCACAACACACGTTCTCACTTAGCTTTGTGTCATCTGCAAATTTAGAGACTTTGTATTTGGTCCCCACCTCCTAATCAGTGATGTGTTTGTGAACAACTGGGGCCAAGTATGGATCATGTGGGATCCTACCAATCACAGCCTGCCAGTTCTCTGGGTTGAACTCCTAAATGCATGACATTTCCATGACCAAACCACCTAACTCCAACTCAGCGACAGTCCCCTCCCCATGAGCCTCTGCTAGAATGACTATTCCCACGCTATCTTGGACAGCCTCCTACTTCCCACCCTAAATAAACATGAGGCCATCTGGCACTCTCCTGTCCCAGTCCTAAACCATTACAAGACCCAGTTGTTTCTCACCCTCCTGATGCTTCCTGGCCCACATTGACTTCCAGTCTGGCAATGGCTTCATTTAAAAATGATCATTCTTGCTTTCCAATTCATCCATTCACACTCTAGCCCTCCCACATACTTCCTTCAGCAACACAACACTCCACGATCTCTGTCTCCTCCAATTCTTACCTCTTGCACATTTTTAATCTCAATGACACAACGCCTGATGGTTGTGTATTCAAGTGTCCAGGCCTTAAGTAATTCTCTTTCTAATTCTGCTAAGGAGAGAGTGAGAACTGAAGGACATACTCAAAAGCCTGGAGACATCTCAGTGGTTTGTAGAGCTTAGGGGAGCTAAGACTATTGCTGGACTGTTAATCCAGATAATGTTCTGGGGAAAAAAACAAAGTCGCTGGAAAAGCTCAGCAGGTCTGGCAGCATCTGTGAAGGAGAAAACAGAGTTAACGTTTCGGGTCCGGTGACCCTTCCTCAGAACTGACAGTGGCTGGGAAAACGTCAGTTTATATGCAGAAAATAGGGTGGTGGGTGTGGTAGGGAGTAAACGATAGGATAGAGGCCAAAGAGAGAGAAAGACAGTTGGACAGACAAAGGAGTTGCTAACGATCAGGCTGGGAGGGTGAGTAGTTATTAATGGGGACTGTTAGTGACTAACAACAGGGGGTGTGTAGTGGCAGGCTACGTGGTAACAGGGCCTGGTATGTGGGGTGGGGGGCTGGGACATGGGAGAGTTTAGGCCCTAAAATTAGTGATCTCAATAATGAGTCCGGAGGGCTGCAGGGTCCCCAAGCAGAAAATGAGGTGTTGTTCCTCCAGCTTGTGTTGGGCTTCACTGGAACGCTGTAGCAAGCCGGAGACAGAGATGTTGGCCAGGGAGCAGGGTGGTGCATTGCGGTGGGGAGTTCTGGGGAGCTGGGTTTGACTGCTGCAGTGGCAGATGGTGGAATGTGAATTCAATAAAAAAAAAGGTCTGGAATTAAGAGTCCAATGACGACCATGAATCGATTGTCGGAAAAACCCATCTGGTTCACTAATGCCCTTTAGGGAAGGAAACTGCCATCCTTACCTGGTCTGGGCTACATGTGACTGCAGACGCACAGCAATGTGGTTAACTGTTACCTGTTGTCTGGAATGCTGCCAAATCAGTGATGCCCTCATTCCATGACTGAATAAAGATAAAAATGCTGGGGGTGTTTACAGAGATGGGGAAGGACAAACGCATTTTCTTATTCTGATATGAATTACACCTTCCAAGATGGGGCCTATAAAATCTGAGTCATATGTGGCCCAGACCAAGTAAGAACAATAAGTTTTCTTGCCTAAAGAATATCAGTGAACTAGTTATGTTTTACCACAATCTGACAACTTCATGGTCACTTTTACTAAACTTTTAATGCTTGTCTTTTTTAAAAGAAAAACAGGCTCCAAATTCTCAGACAGCCCCTGGTGGGATTTGAACATGCACACTGGGTTGTTAACCAGGTCATTGGATTTAGTAACAGAATCAATACACCATCGGCTCTCCTGATGATGGCGCAATTGTGGGTGTTGCTGTCTGGGCCAGCCTGTGCTGCCCATCTCCATGTACATTGGCCAAGGTGGTAGTGAGATGCTTTCCTGAACCACTGCAGTCAAACTGGTGTAAAGACACGCATGATGCTGTTAGGATGTCATTTTGGCCCAGTGACACGGAAGGAACAGCAATATCTGTTGTATCTGCTGCCCATGTCCTTCTAGATGGAAGTGGTCTTGGGTTCGGAAGGTGCTGTCTGAGGATCTTTGGTGAATTTCTGCAGTGCATCTTGTAGATAGTACACACTGCTGCTACTGAGCATCCGTGGTGGAGGGAGTGGATGCTTGTGGATGTGATGCCAATCAAGCGGCTGCTTTGTCCTGGATGGTGTCAAGCTTCTTGAGTGTTGTTGGGGCTGCACTCATCCAGGCAAGTGGGGAGTATTCCATCACACTCCTGACTTGTGCCTTGTAGATGGTGGACAGGATTTGGGGAGTCAGGAGGGGAGTTACTCACCGCAGTATTCCTAGATTCTGACCTGCTCTTGTAGCCACTGTGTTTATGTGGTGAGTCTAGTCAGTTTCTGGTGATGGTAAACTCCCAGGATGTTGATAATGGGGTATTCACCATTGAATGTCAATGGGTGATGGTTAGATTCTCTCTTATTGGTGATGGTCATAACCCGGCACTTGTGTGGCGTGAATGTTACTTGGCACTTGCAGGCCAAGCCAAATTCCTTGTCTCTTCTTCCACAAGTTAAATATTACACCTGAAGCCTGAACCTGTGGTATCTCTTCCCTGGCAGGTAAAGGTGTGGTTCCAGAACAGGAGAACAAAATATAAGCGTCAGAAGCTGGAAGAGGAAGGACCTGAGTCCCAGCAGAAAAAGAAAGGCTCACATCACGTGAACCGCTGGAGACTGGCAACTAAACAATCCAGCCCTGAGGACATTGATGTCACCTCTGAGGACTAGTGAGGGAGAACAGGGGCTAGGGAGGTGGGAGTGGGAAAATGGGGAGGGTGGTGCGGAAGGGGAAGGCGAAGAGCAAGAGACATCGAAAGGTAATGAACGAAAGCACAGACATTTCTGACTCAGTGCAAGGAGCTTGGGAAACCTTCAAAAACAAGTTTGGAGAATGACAACAAGACATCGACAATCATCAAAGACCCTGTACAAGACTTTGTGGAAACTGAATCTCAGAAGAAAATGCACTTCAGGATGTAGTTGGAAAAGGGTAACACTTTTCCAGTGACATTGAACCATGCCCTGTGTGTATGTGTATATATATATATATATATAAATATATATTATATTAAAATGTTATCTGAAAGAATAAATTTTTTTTATTTATTGGACGTTCCTTTTTTATAACGGTGACTCTTCAACTTGTTGTGAGGAGAAAGGCCTGAATGATTGAAATGGTTTTACCTCCTCAGAAGTTGAATATGTTTTTGTTGAGGTGGAGGTGTCCCAATGACTGCAGATCCACAAGGGAATGTGTTGGGAAGTCGTGTGCCTCATTTTCAGGGAGTGAGCTTCTTGTTTCTCACTGCACTTGTTGAATGAGTTATATCTGGAATTCCCACTGATCGCCCAAAAATAAATCAATACATAATGGTGTTGTCACATGTAAGTGATGTTGGTGTCAAAGGGCAACATGGAAGACGCTTTCAGTGGTTTATTCAGATATCCCCAGCTCCTCACAGCGGTGTCCTCCTCCTACTCCTCCCCTAAAGGTGCTGAGTCTCACTGAGACTTAGCTCCAGTGTCGGACCCCACTGCCTACAATCACCTGGATGATCATTCTCCCTGTGTGAGCACGCGCAGTGACAGTCAGCCTGACCTGGCCTTAACTCACACTCACACACTCACACACACACTCACACACACACACACACACACACTCACACACACACACACAATCTCACACACACACATTCTCACACACACACACTCACACACACACACACACACAGTCACACACACACACACACACTCACACACACACTCACTCACACACACACACACACACAGAGTCACACACACACTCATACAGACACACACTCACACATACACACACACAGTCACACACACACA